ATGGTGTGTTAGTTTCTGCTTTATAACAAAGTGAATCAGTTATACATATACATATGTTCCCATATCTCTTTTATATCTATTAATGGCTGCTAGTGTTTTAATATTTTTAAAAGCACACTTTAATGTCTATTTCTCTATTTATCAAACTTAAGAAAGAAGCAATAACCTGCGAATCTTTATGGTCTAAATTATGAAATTTTGTGTGCTTACAAGTCTTCTCTCCTTCTCCCACCGGTATTCATCAGTCTTAAGTAATTTAATCTTGGATTATTAGGTTACTACTACTATGAAATTCTTATTCAGATTACATTTATTTATTAAATATCTTTTCTCTTGAGGATTATTTCTGGATTTTGACTCAGTCTTATAACCAAAATTATAATTACTTATTTTGATTTAACTTCATAAATCTACCTGCTTTCAAGTTTTCACTTCTGGTCCTTCTACACCATGATTTTCTCAGAGTTGAGTAGTAAATTTTTTTTGGCTGGAGCATGTATGCAAGAAAGTTTTTGATTTTTAAGTTATTTTTAATTGTGTTTTAAAAAAGCATAAAGTTCTCAACCATCTTCTAAGTGTACAGTTTAGGCATGTTAAGTATAGTCACATTGTTATGTAATCAATCTCCAAAACTTTTTCATCTTATAAAACCAAAATTCTAATCCATTAAACAACTACTCATTGCCCTGTCTCCTCAGCCTCTGGCGACCATCATTCTACTTTCTGTTTCTATGAATCTGACTACACTGGATACCTATATAAGTGGAATCATACAGTACGATGATGATTCTCTCGATCCCTTTGTTCTGTGTATCCTGATGTCCTTTTTGCAACTGGTTTATTTCACCTAGCATGATGTCCTTAGGGTTCACCCACGTTGCAGCATGTATCAGAATATTCTAAGATTTAACAATATTCCATTGCATGTATATACATTTTGTTCATCCATTCCTCTGTCAGTGGACACTTGAGTAGATTTCACCTCTTGGCTATTATGAACGGTGCTCCTTTGAAATATCCCTTCAAGATCCTGCTTTCAGTTCTTTTGTATATATCCCCAGAAGTGGAACTATTGGATCATATTGATAATTTAATTTTTTGAGGAATTGCTATACTATTTTCCATAGCAGCTGCACCATGTAATTATTTTAAAGATAAGCATGTGGGTGGGATTTTTAAAAAATCTGCTTGTGTAAAATGTCTTTGTCTTGCTTTCACTCATAGCTAGGTGTGTCCTTTTCACCTCAAACATATGATGTTGCTTCAGTGTCTCTGAATTTTAACATCAATTATAGAAGTATAAGGCCAGCCATATTTTTGTTCCTTTGTAAGAAACCTAGGGGGTTTTTTTCCTTCAAAGCTGTTTTTAGAATTTTTCCTTTTCCTTGAAATTAAAAAAAAGAAAATTCTCCTGCTAAGTATAAATAGTGGGGCTCTGGAACACTGTGAACCCTTTTTGCCTGAAGAGTCAGCTCTTTTTTTTGTTGTTTTGTTTTGTTTGTTTTCAACTTTAAGTTGCTCTCTCGGGTCCTTTGTTCTGTGTATTCTGATGTCCTTTTGAAAACCTCTATAATTCATGTCCACTCTCTGTCTTCTCTATCCTTTTTCTTCTTTCTTTTTTTAATCTATGGCTTTGTCTTCAGCTAGTCATTTTCCAAGTCTGTCTCATGTATCACTTTTTCTGCAGTATCCATTCTATCCTTTATTGCCTCCAATTCACATTTCATTTTGCTGTGGATTTCTGACTTCCTTTGGTTCTCTCCTATCCCCATTTCCAGTCTCACACTTCATCTCAACCTAAGGTTTTGTTAACTAATCCCATGTCACAGAATCTATGTTGTTGTTCTTAACAGACATACAATCCCACATGTCTGTAGTTGGGTTTTTTGTTTATCTTTGCTTTATTGTAGTTGACATGTTCAGAGTTATGCATTTCCATTAGATCTTCGAGATAATGCTCCCCTGTTCTGCGGTGCAGGATTTTTCCACAGATGCCATAGTTCTTTGCTCCTCCCTGACCCTTGAATGAGAAAGACTGGGTTTGGTTTTGGTGTTAGCTGTGCAGATCATCCTTAGAGTTGCTCAGTGTCTACTGAGGTAATAGTCGAGTCTCCCCTCAGACCTGAAGCTGGTGGCTTCGTGTGCACATCCCAAATTCAATATCCCATATGCAGCAGACCTTCAGTGTTCTAGTGAGTTCTACTAGCCCAAAACAGAATCCTCTCTCAATGCCACTGATTATCAGGAGGAAACTGAGTCAAGCTGTAGTTCTTTGATCAGATGTAATCATTTTTTTAAAAAAACTCCAGTCCCTGGTTTGCATTGCCCTGAGACTTTTCCTTCCCAGAGGGCTTTGCCTGAGAACACTGTGCCTCTGAGGACTCAGGGGACCACTTCACCTCTTCTGCCCTGAATCTGCAATGACTAGAATAAGAGCAGTACTGACGGGAGCTGCCGTAGTGCACAGGCACGGGGGCTTGTTAACAGTTACAGGCTCATTGCCCACGAGCCAGCGGCAGGCAGAGGGAGGGCTCAAGCTCGAGCTCCCTCCCCATCTCACCCTTGTCTTACGGGTAGGGGCCAAGAGTCTTTGGACACCCAGAACTTCTCAACGACAGCATTTTAGTCAATGGTAAGGCGTCTGCAGTGAACTGTAATCTTCCTTCTCGGTGTTGGGGGGCTTATGTCCACTCTCATGGGTATTTTTATGGGAGACAGAGAAAGGGCGTCTCAGGCACTGATACAGGGGCACCATTTTTTTTTTTTTTTTTTTTGCGGTATGCGGGCCTCTCACTGGTGTGGCCTCTTCAGTTGCGGAGCACAGGCTCCGGACGTGCAGGCTCAGCGGCCATGGCTCACGGGCGCAGCTGCTCCGCGGCATGTGGGATCTTCCCGGACCGGGGCACGAACCCGCGTCCCCCGCATCGGCAGGCGGGCTCTCAACCACTGCGCCACCAGGGAAGCCCCAGAGGCACCATTTTAACAACCGTGCTGGCACTCTATAAAGGTCTAGAGTTGTTCTCAACCATGGTTGCACATTGGAGTCACCTGGGGAGCTTTGAAAATATACCAGTGTCTTGGCCTCACCCTGGCCAATGACACAAACCTCTCTGGGTGGAGTCCAAGCATCAGTAGCTTCAGAGTTCCTCCAGGTGACTCCAGTGAGCAACCAGGGCTGAGAACGTTTGGCTCAGAGCAGAGAGCAATGGAAGGGCTTAGGTTCTCATTCAAGTTCTTGAACTGGTGACCTTGGTCAAGTCTTTTCAGCTCTTGTACCTCAGTTCCCCCATTCTAAAATGGGAATGGTAATGCCTGCCCCTGCTCTGACCATATAAAGATATAGTAGGATAAACAGAAGTTAATAAGGATAGAACTACCCAAAGTTTCATGACTTCAAGGCCCACAGTACAGCACCCTCTGCAGGGTCTGGGGCAGCAGGAAAAGTAATTCATCCTCCTCCCGGGACCATTGGGCCACCCCACGGTGGCCACCCCTTCTCACAATGATGGAAGCAGCACAGGAGAGTAAGCGTAAATACTTAAGGCCTCTTAAGGACCAAGATCAGAACTGGCCAAAGCAAGTCACAAGGTCAAACCCAAAGACCAGGGGAAAGGTGGAAGAAACTTCTGAACACAACCTAATCTACCACAGATTCTAATCTTTCAGTCGCCAGAGAGTTCAGGTTTTTATTTCATTCTGTCTGGACCTTTGCAGTGGCCTCCTTTCTGGTCTCCACACCTATGCCATATTAACCTTCAAAAGAACACAGGTGGGCTTCCCTGGTGGCACAGTGGTTGAGAGTCCGCCTGCTGATGCAGGGGACGCAGGTTCGTGCCCCAGTCCGGGAAGATCCCACATGCCACGGAGCAGCTGGGCCCGTGAGCCATGGCCACTGAGCCTGCGCGTCCAGAGCCTGTGCTCCACAACGGGAGAGGCCACAACAGTGAGAGGCCCGCGTACCGCAAAAAAAAAAAAAAAAAAGAGCACAGGTATGACCAAGGCATTTCAATGACCCCCCAAAACCTTCCCTACCAACCATCACATGGAACCTGACTCCTTGGCTGGTTTCAATTATCCACACTCTAGCCCCAACCTCCTTTCCCAGCCCTGACCCCATTTTCCTCTCTACCCACCTACAATGGGGACAGGTTGGCTAAGACCTCCCTGGTTCCCAAACTTCCATGTTACCTTCCTGGTGCCTCACCTGTGGTCATTGCTCCACCTGAAATTCCCCCAGGTTCTCAGGTCAGAATCCTAGCTCTTCCAAGATGCCAATTTCCAGTTGAAAGGAATAACTCCTACCTCTGAGTTCTCCAAAGTTCCTTTACCTGGAACCCTCCAATGGCTTTTAGTTCATTCATAACTGAATGAACTAAAATGAATGAACATGTCTTATCTTACCTCCTAGAGCAGTGCCTGGCACACAGTGGGGCAATGGTATTTTTAAGGAGGATGAATGAATGCGTGAATGAATGCCTCTAGTTTTCCTTCTATGCTCTGGGCTACTTGCTGGCAGGGGTCGTAGCTGTGTCTCTAGCCCAGTGCTGGGGCCAAGATGGGCCTCAGATGCCCATTGCTGGGTGTGTGGTTACCCTTCACTGCTGTGGGGACATGATTTGGAGGTTAGCAAAGGAGATAGTTTAGCCCCAGGGAGTTGAATGGAGGAGGTGATGACTGGGAAAGGTGTCATCTACCCCTTTACCTCATTCCCTCCACCTCAGTATCTGGGTCAGTGAGGCAAGTCTGTAGCGCCCCCCAATCTGGGGACACTGAAGAAGAGGTGCTATGGCTAAAGGTCAAAGTGGTCTTTCTGCCCACAAGTGAGTCTTCAGCATTCATGCTCCAGCCACAGGTCACCCATCGCCCTTCTCATGGAAATCATGGGGTTTACCAGTTGCCCAGGCCTAGCCCTTAGCCAGTAGGCAGAGCGGCAGACTGGGGTGGTGCCCGGGCCCCTCCCAGCTCCTGTGCAGCTGACATGGTCTCTTGTGCCTCCGCAGAAGGACTTCACAGTGCGGGAGGAGCTGCAGCAGCAGGACGTGGAGCGCTGGCTGGGCTTCATCACCTTCCTGTGCGAGGTCTTCGGCACCATGCGCAGCAGCACGGGCGAGCCCTTCCGCGTGCTCGTCTGCCCCATCTACACCTGTCTCAGGGAGGTAAGTCTCTGCCGGCCCTGCCCGAGAGGGTGGGCGCTGCCCTGTCTGCTAACGATGCGCATCTCCATCTCTGATGCGCCAGGAATGCCACAAGGCTTGTACCACTTAAAGTGATCAATCATTTGGTTAAGAGAAACGGAACTCCCCGGTGCTTTTGTTTACTCTACCCAGGTTTTTATTTATTGAGTTTACGTAAAAGGAAATAATCCCCCAAAGGAAAGTATTATGAACTCAGACTGCAGTCATTCATACTCTAGAACACTGCCTACAGAAGGGAGATCTACAGAAAATATTGAGTGAATAGATCTTTGGACTGGATTGGTTTACCATTGAATTATTTATTTTAAAAAATATTTGCTTCTAAATTTCCTCTGATAAAGAAATAAATAAGGATAATAAAGAAACTTTTAAGAAGCCAGAAGTCAGTGGGGTGATGGCCCTACCAGGTATCATAACCCACTTTGGAGGGTCACCCTTGGCAGCTCTCAAGGGGTAGAATTGAAGGGCAAATGTGGAAGCTATTGGTGTGTCCAGTGAGAGGCTGGTGGCCCAAAACCCAGTCATGAGAGTGAGGAGGGGGAGGACCAGTTGCATTCCAGTTATATCTTTGAGTTAGAACCAACAGGACTTGCTGATGAGATACAGAGAAGGGAGGAAGTGACGTAGGGTCCTCATCTACCACCCTGCTAGCACCATTTCCTGGGACGGGGAAGCTGGAAGAGAAACAAGTAGAGTGTGGATGAAAACCAAGAGTTTGGGTGGCCTGTTGGCCATCCCTGGGGACACAGGCTTCAGCGTTGTGTGAAGTGTCGACCTGTACCTGGTGCTGGGGACTGGATGGGGTCACCCAGGGGTGGGGGGCGGGGGGGGTGTGAGATGGAGGAGGGGAACTGGACAAGGAGTGGCCGGGAGGCTGGAAACAAGCCAGGAGGGCACAGTCATCACAGCCCTTGTCCAGTGGGACCAGCCCACACCTCACAGGTGTTGGTCCCCTCTCACCCTCAGCAGCTGATCCCAAGATGCTGATCCCAAGAGGAACAGCCTCTGGGGAATCAGTGGGACCAGGACAGAGAAGAGGCCTGGGTTTGGCAACAAGGAGGGGCCCCACGGTGTCAGTGGAGTGAGAACAGAAGCTACGTTTGCCTCGTTGGGGAGTCGGTGGAGGTGGGGGCGTGAGTGTGGACACCTTTTTGGAGAAGTGCTTCTGTGAAAGGCCGCAGGGAAAGACAACTTGTCAGCTAAAGGGGAGGTATGCGGTCAAGAGACACTTTTGTGTTTCTGAAAGAAAGATAATAGAGCAGTTTAAGGGAAAGGAGGGGGCATCTGTAAATGTTTTTGAAGCATCCATTTATAGGAAAACAACACATTCATTCCAGACTGCGTGGATCTGCATGAAAGCAGAGCACACAGGCCTCTCCTGGGTGCTCGGTGGCCCTGTCAGCCTCTACCACTCCATGTAGCCAGAGATGTTTCTTGACAAATGTACTTGAATTCAGACTTGTTTCTCAGATTCAGACAATGACCTCTTCCAACTTGAGTTCACTCTCAAAGTGTCCTCAGCTCAGAAAGAAGTACCAAGATGGGCCATGGCTATGCTTTTTGCCTCCCTTTGGGATGCTTTGAAGGTAGCCCTCTTGGAGTCCTCTCATCCTTGCCTGAGCTGCCCTGCACCCCTGACCACCCACCTGAAGGCAGGGAGCAGCATTGTTCTAGGGCGGTGACCTGGATTGCCCCAACATGTTCCCTCTGCGTGATCTGGGCACCTCCTGGTGTTGCTGTCACCTGCTCCCCCAAGCAGGAAGCAGGGCTACAGCCGAGCCCTGGCCCTGGCTGCTGGGACGCTTCTGACAACACCTGAGGTAGTGCGAACCTTCTGGTGTGAGATCCGGCAAGTGCCGGGAGGTCTGCACAGACCAGGAATCAGGAGCCTCCCCTGACGCACACTTGTTCGTTGCATTAAACTCACACAGACCCCGCCAGGCCCACCGTAAACTTGAAGGGTAAATAAATGATCAGTGGTTTTCACTATTTTGTAAAAGAGGAAACCACCGCCCCGTGTTCCAAACTATCTGCTTGAGGCCACATGGGGAGACCCCTGAATTCTTAGAGTCAGCTGCTGCCTCCTGTACCTTATGACACATACACACATACCCAGGCCTGACCCACGTCCCAAAGCAGGTTGAGCCAGCTCTAGGACGTTTCTAGAAGCCAAAATCACTGCTGCTGCCTTTCTCTGTGCTGGACAAGTTTAGGCTCTTCCCCCGGGGCCATGCAGATGGCTGACCCCAAATGTACAGGGCCCGCCCTGCCCTGAGGTCATCGCAGCTTCCTGAACCATCCCCAGGCCAGCATCTCTGGCTGCCCACTAGACACGTCCCAAGTCAAGCCTCGAGCCTTCCAACAGGTTGTGCCAGCGGTGCCCCAAACCCTCCTGCTCACTCCCTGTCTTCACGTGGCCCAGACCCAGCCTTCCTGCCCCACTGTGGCCAGACAGCAGCCCCAGGACTCCCCAGCTGCCCTTTCTCAGTGTCATGGGACACCCACTCCACCCTCTGCTTCGGCACCGCCCCCTAAGGCTTCCCCTGCTCCCCTTTCCTTGATGCCCCCGAGTCAAACACAAACCCACGGGCCATCTTGGTGCGAAGAGTTTCGTTTGCAACAAACCTAAGGGAAAGATACAAAATCCTCAGTCTCGGGGTCTTCATGCTTACGGAGGCCGCCTTCAGTGGATGAGGGGCTTACCCAGATTGAGTGTGTGCTTAGCCCCTGAGCCCCTTCAGGCTGGAGGACAGGCAGCTCTCTGAGAGATGCCCTGCCCTAGAGCGAGGCCCCTGGGCATTTCCTTCCACACTCTGACCTAGTTGAATTAACCCTCTCTCAGTCACTCAAGCTTGAAATCCTGGACTCCATCCTTGGAGTCTCTCTCTTTCTGGCCCTAAAACACCTCCTTCCGGGCCCAGCTCAAGCCACCTCTTCTGGAACCTCCCCTGTCCCCACCCCCAGCCGAGTGTACCAGGAGCTCCCTCCTGAGCGAGGCAGTGCACTCCATCCTTATAGCTCCAATCCTTTTTACATCACCTTAGAGGATTTTTTAGTATAGATAACAGTACAGTGGAAGGCATTGTCCAAAGCACTTAATGCATTCTCTTGTCTTTTAACTCGGGCAACACCCTGAAGATTATCATCCCCATTTTCCAGAGAACAGAGAGATCAGACAGCTTGCTCATAGCCACACAGTTAGCGGGCTGCAGAGTCAGCATCGGAATCCAGACGTGACTGCCCGAGTCCCTGCTCCTAAACACCCTGCTTCACTGCCTTACAAGCAGAGCAGGAGCTGCTCTTATTCTATTCTCGTCCATACCCAGCGCCTACTCTGTGTTGGAAGCCAAATAGATCTTTGTGGGATTGATCCTGTTTTTGCCATAAAGATCATGTGCCAATCAGAGATCCCTCTTCGAGGGATGGAGAAGAATAATCTTCAACAAGCTCTTTAACTGTTTAAGAGCAAATCGTTTCTGCCAAGATGGTTTTCCAAGTGAGTGAGGAGTAGTACGGGTGACCAGAAGCCGCGTGAGTCTCCTCGCCCTACTGTTTACAGCTCATGTTTGCCTCATGAGCTCTTTTGAATTTTTTTTAATGTTTTCAAATGTTTATTGTGGTCAGAACACTTAACATGAGATCTACTCTCATAACGGCTTTTTAAGTATACAGTACAGTATCGTTATCTGTAGGCACAGTATAGTACAGCAGATTTCTAGAATTTTTTCATCTGACGTAACTGAAATTTTATACCTGGTGATTAGCAACCCCCCACTTCCTCCTCCCCGCAGCCTCGGGCAACTCCTATCCTATTCTTTGTTTCTATGAATTTGACTATTTTAGCCCTCATAGAAATGGAAACATGCAGCATTTGTCCTTCTGTGACTGCTTATTTCCCTTGGCACAATGTCTTCCAGACTCAACCATGTTGTCTCATTTGCGAATTTCCTCCTTTTTTTAAGGCTGAGTAGTATTCCATTGTGTATAGATCACATTTTAAAATCTATTCATCTCTTGGTGGACATTTAGATTATTTCCACATCTTGGCTGCTGTGAATAGTGTTGCAATGAACATGGAAGTGCTAATATCTCTTCCAGATCTTGATTTCAGTACTTCTAGAGAAATACCCAGGAGTGGGATTGCTGGAGGATATACTGTAGAAGTTCTATTTTTAATTTTTTGAGGAACCTTCCTACTGTTTTCCATTGAAGCTGTACCATTGTGTATTCCCATCAACAATGTACAAGAGTTCTAATTTCTCAACACGTTTTAATATTTTGTAGTTACGTATGTGTGTATATATATATATATATATGTATATAAAATAGCCTTCCTAACAGGTGTGGGGTGGTTTTGATATGCATTTCCTTGATGATTAGTGACCTTGAGCATCTTTTCATATGCCTGTTGGCCATTTGTATGTCTTCTTTGGAAAAATGTCTATTCAAATCCTTAGCCCATTTTTAAAAATCTGGTTACTAGTTTCTTTTGCTTTGGGGCTGTAAGAGTTCCTTACATTTTTCTGAAAATTAACCCCTTATCAGATGTATGGTTTACAAATATTTTCTCCCATTCTGTAGGATGCCTTTTCACTCTCTCGTTAACTTTGCTGTAAGAAGCCTTGTAGTTTGAGGTAGTCCCACTTGTCTGTTTTTGCTTTTGTGCTTTTGGTGTCATATCCATGAAATCACTGCCAAGACCAATGTCATGAGACTTTTCCCCTATGTTTTCTTCAAGGAGTTATAGTTTCAGGAGTTATGTTTATAAATCTTTAATCCACTTTTTAGTTTATTTTTGTGTAAGGTATAAGCTAAGAATCCAGTTTCATTCTTTGGCATGTGAATATCCAGTTTTCCCAACAGCATTTGTTGAAGAGACCATGCTTTCCCCATTGTGCTTTCCTGGCACCTTTGTTTCTATCCACTCCCTCTCAGTTGACCATACATGCATGGATTTATTT